ACGCAATTTACTTCACTAATAACGTTGGACGTTTGGACTTTTCTCGTTTTTATCAAGTGCCATTGTTGTGGAAATGGACAACAATCTCGATATTGTCGATGTCTTTAATCCTGTTTCACATCATTGTCTAATTTTTATTACGCTTTACATGATTTCCTTCCATCGAAAGTAAGCTGTCGATTTAGGGAGCGTGCGAGAAATATAATCCGTAGAAATAATTCATAGATTACAGATTTATAAATCGCCAATGCCGTAGATAATATTAGCACCTTGAACTAGAACGATCAATGTCTTTCATTTTGCTACTTGTATAAAGATAAGCGTTCCCTATATATATCACATTCTACCTTCTATTTCTCTGAGCCACCAGCGCGGTTGTTCCAGTTTTATATTATCGATACGCGTCGGTGCTGCATGTATATTTAATCACTTATTAATAAACACAATTTTTGATACTGACTAGTAGACTCTAAGTGGCAAACAACGGGAATTACTTCGTTTGATTTATGTATAAATTATATGCAATCGTATAAATTAAGTGCAATTATATCTCGCTTTGCAAATGCGCGACCGACGAATCGTTGCGTTGATGAACCGAATGAAAATATCGCGGTGATATCATTTCGCGAAGTGTGAAGTAACGCCGCGAAATTTTTCATGATTACTTCACGACGTCGGTTGTCCAACACGTCGAATGTTTCGCATAATAGCCTTATCGAGACGTACGCGACATGTAGGTACTGCCGTCCACGTTGACTGACCCGGCCTACTTTTTCACCACCATATATAGCTGAAGAGACATCGCTCGTATTATGACTCGGGAGTTTCTCCCCATGAAAATTTGTTATCTTGTTGATACCGAGCCGTGTCGAAAGCACGGCTCGCACGTGGACCCGCAGAAGTCGCCATGCTTTCTAAACTGGGGAAAGTCGCTCGCCACCAAATTTGCACAAGTATGCCCGTAGTACCGCCCGGTCGATCGAATTTTCTTCCAATTAAAACATTTTACAAATAAGAACAATTCGATTAAGCGTTTTTTAATTTTTTTTCTTTGTTAATTACATCTTTCGCAGAAATTTTTATATTTTTCTAACGTTATATCCCCGTATTATCGTATCTGTGCAATCAATGGCAATCAAGAAAATGTTAAAATCAGATGTCTAAATTATCTTTAATTATGTAACAATACAATTTTGTAATAATGTAAAAGTATAAAAGCAATGTGACCTCTGAATTTAAAGAAAAATTTCTGCATTTAAAAAAATATCTGACCTTTTCGTCTCGGAAGTTGATAGCAACGAACTCTTTCGTGCATGCAACGTGAAGGAGATAAAAATACCGTCAGCGTAAAATATCGGACACCTGTATCTGCCGTAGCACTCAACCTATTAAACGGCACGGCCAATAGCGTTACTGCGCGCAAAATGCGCGTGATTAAAGCGGAACCTCTGGAATCCCCTCGGCGGGGATGAATGTGAGGCGTCACATCCGTGACAATTAAGACGCTCGTTCTGCACACGCGATTCGGTGAAAGTACGTTGTCCAGTTGCGAACAATTTGTCTTCTAGTAGACGACAATAGAAAAGTGAAATCAGCCTGTGTTTTGCTGCGACAACGTTCTTGTTCTTCGACCGTGAAACATCTCATATGATAAAAAAAAGATTTTTAATTAATTTACAGAAAACTGTCTTTGAAATTATATAAAATCGTGATATTCTAATCGTGTAATATTTGGCTTCATCTTTTGCGAAGTGCTGCTTTTGCGAATTGTATTTTTCATCTTTCTTTCATTTTAATTTTTAATAAAATAAATGGATAAAATTAAAATTTCATAGCTGTAGTACAAATAAAGTTTCTTTTATATATTATCTTAAGTTTTGATGCGGACCATTTATTGTTCAGATTGTAAATATAGATTGCTTTAAAATGTGAATTTATTCAAACCAAGATGAAGACATTTCTTGTTAAAATTAATCATTTATTATAAAAATTGAGTTTGGTATTAAGGTTAACGATTCGTTGTGAAAGTTATTTTTCGGTAAATGTTAAAATTATCGCGTTTCATGATTCATGAAATTTATAGTTATCTTTCTAACTTTCTTATATACTTAAGAAATTAATAGAGTGACACAGAAAGCGTAATAAAATATGAATATAGAATAGAAAATTCCAATAAAATAAAAATAATAACTTGGATATTAAACAGATGTGAATAGACATTATTAGCGATGAGATTTAATAGATTAGTTCGAAACTTTATTTCGAGCTACATATGAACGTGAGACATGTTGGAAATTCGGTAGAAATAGAAGACCGCGCTTAACTTTGTCGGTAGCGGACCGTGATTTCGATTGTACGCACTGACCGGCGGTTCCGCGCCGCACTTTTCTATCCTATCACCAGAAAGTCCGTAAACTTGATCAGGCGCAGGTGCAAGTAGAACAAGAAAGCGGACAGGTATGCGTACGCCGTCGACCTGCCCAGATTTATAAACCGACGATGATCATGACTCACTACTGTCATCCAGCTGTCCAGCTGTCATGACCGATATCGTCCGACGATTAACGCACGATAGTAACGCCTCCTGTTCACTTCTCTTCTATTTCTCTTCTACTATCGGCATTTTCCAAATTACGGTATGCAAAATAACCGCTTTGGTTTTTCCGGGAAGTCATGACCGTATTATCGGGACGAGTAAGAGATGAAAAGATATATGAGGGAGATTGGATTTTTCTATTTCGAAGATTGGATGTCCCAAATAATTTCATAGCGACTCCTTTGGAGTCAATCGATTATGCTAGACTGTAAAAGTTTTACGACTGTTTGTTTCAGAAACTACTAAAAGTCCTTATAGCTTATAATTTCTAGAAAAATGTAAAAATTTTGATAAAATAATTTATATTAATATTTTAATAATTTGTTTAGAAATTATCATCATTAAACGCAAGATTTATGCGATCTAGTTTACATTTACATACGCGTAAAAACGCGAACGTTTGATTTCTGTAATTATCTCATAATGGAAATTATTTCACTTGGCAGGTATGACAGGTTCCAGTTTTAATACAGTTATTCCTCTAATTCAGTGTTTCCCGTGCGATTCTTCGCTTTCTTATTGTTATACGATGAAGCATGATACCTCGTTAACACGTTAACGAATATGTTCGAGATCTGTTTACGAATTTATAATTATGCTGTCCTTGCACCATTACATTAATTGTATGTTTACCCAATCGCTAATAGGCCCGTGTGAAATTCATGCGGAATCAAATGTGCAAGATGCTCTCGATGTTAACATAGATATTAAGTTAATGACGAAGCAGTGTTTAGAGTTGCGTGTCAAATTGGGGAAAGCATGGAAGAATATGATAGATACGCTGCTACGAGTAAAATCGTATTTAGAACAATCTCCCGTGGCGGAAGTGAAGACATTGGTCTCGGTACGTAGATTCGCGTAATTACCCGCCTGCAATTCTGCCAAATCGGAATACAAAATTGCCCGAGGGAGTCGGTCGACTCGTCGCCCGACCTTCCGAATGTAAGTTTGTATTCGATTCCTCTCGATGAATATTTCTTTGACTAACAGTACACGCATTTTCGGTCACGTCTTTTTTGTCAGCATATTTCCAAGCATTATTAACATACGGTACTTATGGTGGCACAAAGGCGTCGACAAGATTTGATTTATATTTCATCTCGTTCATCGTGAATTATTAAATTTGCATCTCTATCGTGTGATATATACTGGATACAAAGATTATTTTACAGGATTTGTTGGGAAAGTTAATATTAATTAATCACTAACCCGCGGATAAATTACTGTCATTAACGGTAACGAAAATATTGTAAAGTAAAATTAAAATAATTTCTAAATTAAATATACGATTTGTTTTAATATAATTTCTAAAGCTAATTTAAGTTATAAATTAAGTTAAATATAAATAGAAATTATAAATAAATATCAGTAAATTTTTAATTTATAAATTTTTAAAATTCTATTCTGAGATTTTTCTGTACATATGTACATATGTACTCATTTGTCTTGAAAAGAAATGTACATGTTTATGAAAGAGAAAGGAAAAAGGAAAATATAATATAGGGCCTATTTCTCTCTAATGTTAATAATTTTCTCGTCTTTGATATAATAGCAAGCTTCGAGAATATAGGATTCAGAAACACTTTTCTCGAGGACGCAGCAGTTCCTCTTCGTAATTCTATGGAATTTTGAACACTGTGAATCGTGTTCGATTAGTGTTACGCGAAAGGTTGCAATGTTCGATGACATTCGATGGAATTTCTAATATAGTCTCGTTTCCGCATCGTTCGAAACGGATCAGAATGGAATGGAGAGTACGACACTCACAGGGTGGCTAAAAGTAAAAGAAGTGTACTCGAATTATTATTTTTGTAATTTCGGAAAGACTAGAACTTTCGATACAAATGTACCGCTTGCCAGGAGTTATCGAAAGAAAGAAATCTAGAGATAACAGTATACATGTTGAGAAAGACGAATCATTGTCTTTTGTCACGTTTGCGCATTGCGCGAACTCGGTTAAAACTTTAGTGGAATCCCCGTTATAAGAAATAAGTTACAGGATGATTTCGAAACGCGTACGTGCAGGGTCTTGAAAAGGGCATGTGTTTCATATAAATCGCCGACCCTTTGTAATAATGCAGCTGAAGAATTTTCAAAGTTGCGACATTTACGTTATTCGTATGTACTTAACATGGAAATTGAAAAAGTTGCATAAGAGCCATACTTGCGCTTTAATATAAAATTTACCAAGAAGATAAATGCTACTTCGATCGCATTTGGCGACATACTTATGATTAATCGCATACGCTATCATACCTTAATTTTTACATCTAATTTCGTTATTTACGCTTATTCCTATCATTTACATTCATATGCAGAATGTCTATTCGATAGTGTTAAATCATTTTGTTCCTTTTTGATCGCAGTTTTTAAAATACATTGCTCGTTTTTTTTTTTTTTCTAGAATGTACGAAGCGAAGCACCATTGGTGGACAGCAGCGCGTTACCTTTGGAACACAGGTCTGTTTACGGGGCCCCGGCTCAATATGGCCCACCAGCCACCCATGAGGAGAATTGGCCGCTGGCGTCGCCCGACACTCCACAAATCAAGCATCTGCAAGTGCAGTGCGAGAAGACGCACATGCGAGTGAACATCGAGTTTGATCGGCCGTTCTACGGGATGATCTTCAGCAAGGGTTTCTACTCGGATCCGCATTGCGTGCATCTGAAACCCGGCACCGGCCATCTAAGCGCGACCTTCGAAATCTTTCTCAATTCATGCGGCATGAGTTCGTCGGCGAACCATAACGTGGCAGCCTACGGCGCCCCGACGCCGTCCGGTAGTTATGTGGAGAACACGATCATCGTGCAATACGATCCGTACGTGCAGGAAGTGTGGGATCAGGCGAGGAAGCTACGTTGCACATGGTACGACTTTTACGAGAAGGCGGTCACCTTTAGACCGTTCCAGGTCGATATGTTGCACGCCGTCACCGCCAACTTCCTCGGCGACAACCTGCAGTGTTGGATGCAGATACAAGTCGGCAAGGGTCCTTGGGCCAGCGAGGTGTCCGGCATCGTCAAGATCGGACAGACTATGACGATGGTATTAGCTATCAAAGACGATGAGAATAAGTTCGATATGTTGGTGAGGAATTGCGTTGCCCACGATGGCAAGAGGGCACCGATTCAACTGGTTGATCAATACGGTTGCGTAGTCAGGCCGAAGATTATGTCAAGGTGAGTTTTAAAAGTTACAAACATATATTTTATCTTTTATATTAAGAAGAAGAAGAATAAAGCCGTACTTCTTCTACAGGTTCCAGAAGATTAAGAACTTCGGCCCGAGTGCGTCCGTAGTTAGCTTCGCCTACTTCCAAGCCTTCAAGTTCCCCGACAGCATGAACGTTCACTTCCAGTGTGTGATTCAAGTCTGCCGGTACAATTGCCCTGAGCCCAAGTGTGGACATCCTGGCCTCGAGTACGGCGCACCTGGCGGCGGCATTACTCACGAATATGGCGCACCGGTCTCACAAGGTCTTTCTTCGGAATACGGTGCCCCGCCTGTGCCCGAATATGGCGTGCCGCCAGCTTATCCTGATCCGCGACATCCCAGTGGACCGGCCGGAGCGTACAGGTGAGAAAGCGTATGAACACCAACCAGTGTAATTACTAAGGAAAGCTTTTCTACGAAGTATCCATTAAGATCTTCGCGTTATCTCGCGTAAAAGGAGGCTGCTGGATTCCATTAAGATTTCTCAATGGAAAGAAATTTCTTAAAGAAAATTGTAATATTCTTCTGAAGAGAATATTCAATATTAGCTCGAGATATATTATTCAAGATATTTTATCAGAGTTTCTTTTATAATCATATATATTTTATGAAGATTTTTTTTTTAATGTCAGAACGTATATAGACAAAAGAATTATTTGTATTCAAATAATTATTTTATTAGTGAATAAGGAAATACGAAGGTTGTTCCAAAACGTAAACTATAAATTAATTTTTCATCGTAGCGAGCCGAATCCGGACGTGGTTCCGGCACCGCAAGCACAGACTTCGTCCTCTTCGCCTAGCTCGACGCCGGGTGACGCTACGGCGAGCAGCTCACCCCAAAGTCCTCAGGATAATATCCACTTACCTCCGCCTCCTCTGCCCGGCCATTCGGCGACGTATCAGACTGTGAAGCGAAAAGGGACCGCTGGCACGGAAGAACTTGAGGGTAATCTGGCCATCCTCGGAGGTCGACCGAGGTCGGTTGAAGGTTTCCCGGCTGAGCTCAGAGGTGCTAGGAGGCGAAGGCACGGCGAGCCACACGATTTGGAAGACGACGATAGCGTAAGTGTACCAATCTCTATTTTCATATTTCTACCAATACATTTCAACAATAAAATTCAAGTGCAGATTTGAGAAATGTTTTGAAAAATAGTTAATATATCTACTTTTTGAAACAAATGATACTTGTCAAGCTATAAACTGTCATCTTTCCTTCTCAATTTACTAGCGAGGTAGCTCATCGCGAATACATTATCAATGACGCGTTCTACGGTACCGTTCGGTATCCTACTAGGACGTAAATTCTTCGGCATTACAACGATTACCCTCAATTTTCAGAATATCTATCACACGGTGACCCTGTTCTCCACCCACGTGTACAAACGAGCGGCGCAAGAGATGACAGACGTGAACACCTCAAGGGTTATCCAAGTAGTCGCGCCGGGTGACGTCAATTTTGCGCTGGGCACGACAAACTCTAGCAATGACACCACCGTGGTCATACAGAACGCTAGCGCGTCTACCGATCCGGAGACGATTTGCATGAGCTTGCCGGGTTTCGTAGGCGGCCTGGTGATGCTGTTGCTGGTCGTCGTGGTGGCTTCTCTCGTCGCGGCCTTCCTGTTCGTCAGGGTGCGCGCCGTGGACCGCAAGAACGCCGCGTTAGGCGGTAACAGCTTCGTTCATCCGGCATATGCGACCGAAAACTGCAGCGTGCCGAATCCAGAGTTCGTGAAAGTCGCCAACTGAAGTGGCGTGTACGGTGCGCATAATCAAAAAAACTCGCTGCAGGAGAGAAGAAAGAGATCCCCCTCCGGAGGATCGTCGACCTCGGGCGATGCTTCGGGCAATGCTTCGGGACCAACGCTACGTTATTTCATCCGAAATAAAACTCGAGATACATACCATCGGAGATTCTCCTCGTCGAAAATAGGAATCGCGTTTCTTTCCTCTCTCTCTCTCTC